CTGAAGGCCGGATACCACCATGTGGACATCCACCCCGCATATTGGCGGTTTCTTGGTTTCACCCTCCAAGGACAATGCTATCAGTTCCTATCCCTGCCTTTTGGGCTGGCCACTGCGCCGTTTGTCTTCACCCAACTAATCAAGCAGCTCGCAAAGCGCTGGCGCAGCAAAGGCATTCGACTTATCCCATATGTTGACGACATCCTTTTTTATAAATGCCACTCGAGCTGAGGCCCTTCGCAATCGAGCTATCATTGTCAGAATGTTGTATTTGTCTAGCCTGCAGTGGGGTACTCTATAGCGAGTACAGCCCAATCTAGGGTTTCCTATATGTACTCAACTGCTTGCTAGTGAACCTCCTCCTTTCTTCATTCTTACTTTCTACTGCTAGTTCTGAAATGGTATCAGAGCAGGTCGATCCCCTTGGGTCGATCCTGTGGGTGGGCCCACCACCTCACTGCTTCCGCTGCTACTGCTACTCTGTGTGTTGCACGCCCCGTGGCGTGCGACGGATTTTTCATCCCGCCGCGCGCTCGGAGCGTGCGGCGGTTTTCTGCCCGCCGTGCGCCCCGAGGCGCGCGGCGGCTTTCTGCCCCGTCACTCCGCGCGTCGCTCCCGGGAGGCGCTGCGACGGGCGACGGGGACCCGCGCGTCGCCCCCCGTCGCCCGTCGCGGCCTGCGCGACCTGCGTAGGGCCCGCGCGCGGCCCGTACAGCCTGCGCGCGGCCCGTACGGGCTGCGCCAGGCCCGCGCGCGGCCCGTACGGGCTGCGCCAGGCCCGCGCGCGGCCCGTACGGGCAGCGCCAGGCCCGCGCGCGGCCCGTACGGACTGCGCCAGGCCAGGGCGCGCCTCGGGCCGCCCGCACGCGGTTCGTACGGGCTGCGCCAGGCCCGTGGGCGCTCTGTTTTCTCTGCCCCTGCGCTGCCCGCTGTCCCCCGTGCTTCTGACGGCGCCCCACCCCTGCTGCTGCCCGTTCTCCTGAATTAGGGTTTGGGGGTGGGGGGTATGGGGGTGCAGTTTCTGTGCGTCGTCCCCTACTCCTCCTCCTCCTCCGTCTCCCAGTGCTGCAGCTGCCGCTGAGGGGGGTGGGTGTGTGGGAGCCGAAGGAGTGGTACTAGGGGGGTGACGTGCAAGTGGAGTTAGGAGTGAAGCAGTGGGTGTGTGGGGGGTGTGTGGGACAGTTGGAGGAGGTTGAGCGGAGGCTGCTGTCTTGTCGTCCGCAGCACCTGTAGTCCGGGGCGCACTGTCCTGGTAGCCCAGAGAGTCTGCTGCGCCTGTCGCCCGAGGGTCCGTTGCTCCTGTAGCTCGTCGTAGCCCGTGAGCCAGTTACTCCAGTAGTCCGGGGCGCACTGTCCCGGTAGCCACTGTGCCAGCAGCTCCTGTTGCCCGTGTGTCTGCAGCTTCAGCCGCCGTCTCTCATCTTCTCTCCTCTCACAGTCCCTCCTCCTCCTCACTTGCCCGCTGTGATTACCTCTAACTTTGCTTCTTATTGTGAACTCCTGCTATACCTGCTCATTGTGCTGATTATACCCCACTTTGGCTATGGGGGTGTGTCAGAATGTTGTATTTGTCTAGCCTGCAGTGGGGTACTCTATAGCGAGTACAGCCCAATCTAGGGTTTCCTATATGTACTCAACTGCTTGCTAGTGAACCTCCTCCTTTCTTCATTCTTACTTTCTACTGCTAGTTCTGACAATCATCTTGGCCGACCTCACAGCGGCCGGATTCGTCGTCAACTCAAAAAAATCGCAGCTCGAGCCAAGTCAGTGCCTCAAATTCCTAGGACTCAGACTGGACACGCGCACAACCTCTTTCTCCGTCGACGCTGATCGACGAGAGCGATTGCTTGTCGAGCTCCAACAGACTTGCACGCTTGGCGGGCGGGGGCGGCGCATCCCGGTCCGACGCGTCGCTCGCATTACTGGCATGCTTGCCTCTATGGCGCTCGCCCTCGGCACCCTCGCGCGTGCCTTTTCGCACAATCTACTTTCACAAATCTCGGATTGCTCATCCTGGGGAGACTCAGTCCTCTTGAACGCGGAGTCAATTGACGAGTTGCGCTTTTGGCTCTCCCAGTTCGATGTGTTCAACGGTTCGTGTTTTCACAATCCATATCTATACGACATCGTGATGTATGTGGACGCGAGCGACAGCGCTTGGGGGGCTTGCTATTCCGCACCCGATGGTCGCGTCGGATCGCTTTCATCACACTTACCTCAGGCTCTTGTCGCCTCGTCCAGCACGCTTCGCGAACTCGCGGGAATTCTCTGGGCCCTCTCCTCCTTTGCTGACGAGGTTCAGCGCTGCCACATCCTTCTGCGCAGCGACAGCCAGGCAGCCTATTACATTTTGAGGAAAGGGGGCTCACGTCGTTCCGAGCTGACAATTGTATGCCGGGCCATCATTCAGCTCTGTGTGCGTCACAAGATTCGACTGACGGTCCAATGGATCCCGCGCGAGCTCAATACCGAGGCTGATACATTGTCAAAACTGGAACTTCACGACGACTACTCTCTCGCGCGTCCTTGGTTCCTTTTGCTCGAGAGGCGTTGGGGGCCTCATTCCATTGACCTGTTCGCCTCACCCACCAATGCACAGCTGGCTCGTTATTGCTCCCTGGAGTTTTCGCGAGCGGCCCTCGCGCAGGATGCGTTTTCAATTAGTTGGTTGGGGGAAAATTGTTACGCGTTTCCACCACCACCCCTTATTCCCGCCGTTCTCGCCCACGCTCGCCGCTCAAGAACCTCCCTCACCCTAGTGATCCCTCGCTGGCCTAGTGCCTTTTGGTGGCCTCTTCTACACCCAGACCGTTGGGCTAGTGATATCACCGCAACCCTTAGTCTTGCCTCTGGTTCCGACTGTTTGTGTGTTGGAAGTGATCCTTGGGCATTTAGTGGGGCTGGACTTCCTAACTCTCCTATGTACGCCCTTCGAATAATATTCACTAATAATTAATGCTTTTCGTTACGCAGGTCACCAGCTCGCCCCCCTGCTCTTGGACCTCTTGACGCTCACCGTCGATCTCCGTGCTCAGTCTACAATTCGCACGTACGAGCCATATTGGCGGCAATATCGCGCGTTTTGTACCATGCACGCTCTTCCTTTACTTCCTTCAAGTGATTTGACCGCGGCGTTATTCCTACTGCACTCGATCCGCAATGGTGCCCCTATTTCGGCTATCCGTTCGACATGTTCCGCCATTTCGTGCGCCCATTGGCTCGTTGGCGAACCGTCTCCTGTTCGCGGGCCACTCTCTAGCCAAGTGAAAGAGTATGCACAACGTCATTGCGGACGACCATCTAAGGCTAAAGAGCCTGTACCCCCAGAAAAAATCTACGATGTCTGCGACATATATTTTTCGTCATCCGACCCGGCCACATTCCAGCGGGGGCTGATCCCTCTTCTCATGTTTTCGGCCTTCTTACGCTTCTCTGACCTGATTTCCCTCCAGTGGCATCAGATCGAGTTTGACAGGGACTGCATGTGGCTATTTATTCCTCGCTCCAAGACGGACCAAGCCGGCAGAGGTGCTTGGGTCCCAGTGGCAGCATCCTCTGCCCGCCACTGCCCTGTCTCTCGTGTCCAACAGTTTCTTTTCCTCGCGGGCTACTCTCAAGATTCTACCGGCCCTCTTATCCGCGTGTTCCAACCGGGTGCCGGGGCTTCCCCTTCCGACCGTTCCCCTTCGTATGCTACCGTGCGGGGCTGGTGCCGCGATGACTTTGCCCGCGTCGGCCTTAACCCGGATCTCCTCGGCACTCATTCCTTCCGTAAATCGGTGGCAACTGTAGCTGTCGATGTCGGAGTGCCGGACAGACTCTTCAAAGCCCTTGGTCAGTGGCGTAGTGATAGGGCTAAGGAGCTATATATTACACAACTCGATCGCGAGCTTGTCGATGCCTCTCGCGTACTACAGGACCCTCTCCGATCTAGCCCGACCGATCGGTACTTGACCACATTCGAGAGGGGTCGCCGCCGACCTCTCCCCTGATGTCTCGTTCGACCTATGACGACTGCACTGCACACTCCTCTGAAAGTCGTGTCACAATATGAGAATTTTTTTGTAACAAAAAAATATACAGATTGTGGTTCGACTTGAAGAGGGGTTTGCTGTAAAGGAGACATTCTCCTTTACCTTTCGGCAGGTCCTCGGGACCTACCACCTAGTCTCATTTGCAGTTTTCACTTCTCTAGTTCCCACCCTCCTCTCCCTTATACTCTGGATCGCTTGTGCGTATCTTGTTCCCGTTTAGAACACCATATGTATTCCATATTATCGAGTGTGCTGTATACTTGAGATGTGAAATGCTATGACGACTGCACTGCACACTCCTCTGAAAGTCGTGTCACAATATGAGAATTTTTTTGTAACAAAAAAATTTACAGATTGTGGTTCGACTTGAAGAGGGGTTTGCTGTAAAGGAGACATTCTCCTTTACCTTTCGGTAGGTCCTCGGGACCTACCACCTAGTCTCATTTGCAGTTTTCACTTCTCTAGTTCCCACCCTCCTCTCCCTTATACACTGGATCGCTTGTGCGTATCTTGTTCCCGTTTAGAACACCATATGTATTCCATATTATCGAGTGTGCTGTATACTTGAGATGTGAAATGCTATGACGACTGCACTGCACACTCCTCTGAAAGTCGTGTCACAATAAACAAAGGGCAACACTATACAAGCACAAAACTTCCACTCCAGCATGTATTCACTTGCCCAGCGGTAAGACTCTGCAGGATTCAAGCATTGGAATGCAACCGGCCCTTAAAGCCGTTGGCCCAAATTGCACAAGTTTTGAAAAGATGACGAGAGGGAGTTTTGCTGGTTTGGGTTTTGGCGAATGTTTCCTATTTTGGCGAGCCCCACGTTTTTACCCTGGCGGATGTGTCAGACTTAGAAAGTCCCAAATTGCAGCTGCGTTTCTTTTCAAAGCTTGCACAACCCACTTCGTCAAGTTTTAAAAACTTGACCCGCGCGGTCCGCAATTTGGGCAGCGGGCTTTAAGGGTAACGTGAACCATACCCTGGATAAGTTCTCCAGCCAAACAACTTGATGCTCAACTTGGCAGCCTGGCCACCTGCCACGGTCCCATTGCCAGCTGTCAGCGTGCTATTGGCGAAAGCCCCACTCGCCGCTCCAGCCTCAACAATGGCAAAGACAAGAGCAGAGTAAGCACCAGGAGCAGCCAGCATGGCATTCACCAGGTCCTTGTACGTCTGCCCGTTATCCGCCTTCAAAGTACTGGCGCTTAGCCAAGTGCCAGCGGTTTCGTAGGTGTAGCCGGGGAAAGGGGGAGGTGGGGGAGGAGGGTGCTGGGCTTGGTAGATTTGATACTGGGCTTTAAGTTTAAAGCAGGATTCGGCGGATATGGTCTTGCAAATCTCGTCAGTGGGATCTGGATCTGGAGCGGACGGTGTGAGTGTGCGATTGGTCCACGTGGTGCTGCTGGTGGCCACGGTGAGTGCCACGTCAGCGCCTTTCATGATGGCAACGCGGGTGGGCTCGCCAGGGTTGGTGAGAGTCATGGTGATGCTGTAAAGAATGCTGTAGTCGTTACTTGTGGCGTTGCTGTGGGGGGGAGGGTGGCAAGAAGGGGCAGGGAGGGATAGGGAGGGATAGGGAGGGATGGGAGGTGGGCTCTCCAGAGTTGGTTAGAGTCACAGCGTCGCTGTAAAGAATGTCGTCGTTGTTGGTCGTGGTGTTGCTGAGGGGGAGGGTGGCAAGGGAGGGGCGAGGAGGTGCAAGGAGGACGAGGAGGGGCAAGGAGAGGCAAGGAGGGGCGAGGAGGGGCAAGGAGGGGCGAGGAGGGACAAGGAGGGACAAGGAGGGACAAGGAGGGACAAGGAGGGACAGACATTGGGCCGAGGATGGGCAGGTGCGTATGGAGGGGCCACAGTTGGCAGTATGAGACTGGAAGAAAGTGAGGGGAGAATGGGGAGTGGCGGGGGACGGTGAGAGAGTGAGGGGAGAGGGCAGAGGAGCATAGAGATACTGAGGGGAGAAGGGAGGGGAAGATGAGAGACTGAGGGAAGGAGGGAGGGGGAGGTGAGGAACTGAGGTTAGAAAGTAGGAGTGTGTAGAGTGGGGGGAGAAGAAAGGGGGAACAAGGGAGCGAGGGGAGAAGAGAGGGGAGGATAGAGTGAGGGGAGGAGGGCGAGGGAGCAAGGGGAGAAACGATGGGAGGGAGAAAGAGCGAGGGGTCAAGCGAGAGAAGAAGAGTGAGGAGGAGAGAGAAGCGAATGGAGGAGAGGCTTACTGGAAGACAGCAAGAGAAAGGGAGCCTGAGGAGTTGGTGGCAGCAGCGAGGCCAGCATTAGAGCCGTTCAGACGCGCCTCCACCACCCCTGAAGGAACGTAAGGGTGATGGCCCAGGGGAAGGCGAGAGTGGGGAGTATAAGAGAGATGGAAGGGGCGGATGGAATGGTGGGGGGGAGTTTGTGAGAGAGTGGAAGGATGGTGGTGAAAATGGGGCGAGAGAATGGAAGAGGCAGGAGCGAGGGGGAGGGCAGGGGCTGGAGTGAAGGTTCAGACAGGATTATACGAGAGTTGTGGTGAGAGAATACATGAAATGAGAACGAAATGCATGCGGGATGAGAATCCATGCAAGAGTTTGTGCTGCGGAGAATTCGTGAGGCAGTAGCGAAACGGGTTTGTTTGTTGAGCAACTGAGAAATGCAGGTGCGCAACGGGCTTGTCACGAGGATGCTCAATAGGAAAGTGTAAGTGAGCGAATGGCTAATCTACAGAAGTTTGAGAAGTGTAGTGTAGGTGAACAAACTGCTTGATTGGGAATTCTCAAAATGTGAGTGTAGGTGAGCGAAAGGGAACATACCAACCAATGTCTCTGTCGTCTTGTTTCCTCCATCCGCCACTCCGTTATTGTTATTAGGACCAGCGTCGGGCAGCTTCACTATGATCTGCCCCCTCGCAGCACGCTTCGAGAAAGCCCGCGTCGTGATTCCTGCGTAGTAGGAACTGTTTGGAGCCAACACGATCGCATCGATCACGCTCCGAACCGTCTGCCCGTTTGACGCACTCAGCGTACTCGTTTTAAGCCACGTCCCGTTGATCGTATATGAGTAGAACGGAGCTTTCGCAGGAGTGATATTTTGCCACGTGGCATTGGCCCCGACAACATCGAGAACCTTGGAGCCCCCTTTCCCCGCCAAGCCTTGCCCAATGTAGGCGGAGGTCGGCGCGCCCAGATTTTTGGAGGAGACGAGAGAATGGTAGAAGACGTTGTAGTCGCCGTCTAGCCTGACGGATTCAGTCAAAAATGGCGCAAGCAAGCGAGCGAGCGGAAGAAGGGAGGATTGGTAAGGGATATGGAAGAAATGGCTGAGGGATATGGAAGGAGTGCTGAGGGATAAAGAAGGAGTGCTGAGGGATATGGAAGGGTTAGCGAGGAATATGAAAGCATTGCGCATGGATACGGAAGAAGTGCGCATGGAAATGGAAGGAGTGCGCATGGATACGGAAGGAGTGCGCATGGAAATGGACGGAGTGTGCGTGGATAATGGAAGCGTTGCCAAGCCAGCTTACTCGTAGACGGCCAGGCAGATTCGGCCGTTGGCTGAAAGGTCGCCCTTGGACCCAACCGTTTCGGCTCCCATCAGCGGCGCGGCGAGAATCCCTGCGCGGAGAGAAAGGGAGAGGAGCGGCGGAGTGACGCGGGGGGAAGGAGAGAGGAGAGCGGGGAGAGGGGAGAGCGGCATAGTAAGCTATCATGCGATGCGCACACCTTTTAAAGAGTCGCGGAAATATGGTAAAAATCGAAGCGCGGTGGATGGAAACGAGCGTGAGATCGATGACGCTGACCTTGCCACATCATCAAATCGGTCGTTATCTGCCCGCGGCGCGAAGATCCGGCTGTGCACGGGCAGCCCGACCGCGCCATTCGCGCAGGGAACATTCGTTACGAAGCCAATCATCATAAAAAAAAACAAAGGCGCAACGGCGAGCAACCGATACGCGCAGCTCACCGTGTTCGAAGCAGAGGCTCGGCACGCCGAACCTCTCGTGAAAGAAGACTCGGGAAAGCCGCAGCGGCAAGCCAGGAGCAGCCAGACGTCTTTAAGGCTCCTTGCCTTTTTAGAGGATGACGAATCTATCTTAAAAACGCAGTGGAAAGGGTGGGGAGAGGCAGAGCTCAGCGAGCTTTTCGGCAAGGGAGAGCTTAAGCTCAAATGCCACATATGGCCTGGTCACGACCCATATATTCAAGCGTTCGAGCCTGCTTATATCGTGGATGTGGTGCCAGTTTGGAACATGTACTCTTGGCACTTGATATTAGAATGCCTGATTCCATCATACACCTCCGTCACTGAAAATGATAGTACTACTAGCATTGCCTTGAACGATCGGCTTGCAGGTGATGACTCAGAGGTTGCCGATGTGGCTCATGCCGCTCCCTCCCCTCTTTCAGGCGCCTCTCCAACCGCCTCCCCTTCTCTCCCTGTGGACTTAACTACATCCTCTGTGATCGGTCACGAGCGGTTGAGAACGGTGGAGGGGAGGCAGTGGGCGGTGCATCACTGGCAGCAGGTGCAGGTGCAGCTGGTGGCGGCAGAGGCCGGGGCGGAACTGCGCATGCCACCGCTGCTGCTGTGCCGCGCCGACAGCGACAAACACACCCTCGCCTCCTCCCCGCACTCGCTTTCCCTCTCCACCAGCAACACTGCTGCTGCTGATGCTGATGCTGTTGCTGCCCAGCCCCTTTCTGTCTCCTCCCCACCGCCCTTTCCCTTCGCTGCAGTGGAGAGTGAACTGGTTTCTGCCGCTGCCGCCGCCGGGGGTGCAGGGGCTGCTGGGGAGCCTGGGGGGGAGACTGCTGGGGTTGGTGCTGCCCCTGGTGCTGCTGGGGGTTCGGAAGGAGCTGGAGGCCCAGGTGGTGAGTCAAAACTGGCAATGTTCCTGAAGGGAAGAGAGGGAGGGGAGGAGGGGAGGAAAAGAGAGATGCGTATTAGCGCTGAGAAACTGGGAAGTTCAGGGGAGGTGCTAGTGAACTATGCAGATGAAGCAGATGCAGATGAAGGAGGTGAATATGAAGAGGAGAGTGACAATGTGAGCTCGGAGGGATCTAGAAAAGGCGATGTCGTGGCTAATTACTCAAAATCAGTTACCGCAGCAGCAGCACCAGCTGGAGCAGCAACGCCATCATCAGCAGCAGCACCAGCAGCAGCAGCAACAGCAGCAGCAGAACGAGCAGGAGCAGCAGCTGAAACGGCAGGCAAATTCACCGGCGCAAATCAGAGGCGGGGACGGCGTAAACCAAAGAGCATGGGAGCAGTGACCATCTGCCTGCGCCCCTTCCACACGAATCAAATGTTCTCTGACAACATCGCTGTATCCGATGAGCGATTACTCGAGTGGATCGATGCATCTCTACTGATGGGTGTCGACCACATCTATGTGTACGACCGCTACGCCACAGCCAAGCGCGACCTGCTGCTGCCATACATGGCCCGGGGGCAGGTGGTGCACGTGCCGTTCCCCCCCTGGTCAGAGGTGTTCTATCGCCAGGAGCAGTTTGCTGGGAAGGGCAACAATCCGTATGCGGTGAGCAGCATTTTTCTCTCGTCTTTGTGAAAGACAGCTCGTGATACTGCCGCCCTTGTTTGTTACCAGTGACTGTGTAGTGATCCGCGTGTGGTGAGTGCCTTGTTTCGCGTGTGTGGGATGAGTGATGGCTGGAATGAATCAGCACATCGCTGTCCCTGTGAGTGCGTAGGCTGTGGCCTCTACGCAAAGAGCATGGTCTCATTGCATGGGGACAACCGATTCTAAGTGTATGACCACCTCTACACCACACACATGTGAGCCCTGCTCGTTGTCTGCTGAGTTGTAACCAGTTTCTCCCCTACACCTCCTCCTCCCCCCCTCCCCACAAACGAAAAACACGTGCACACACACACTCACACTCACACACACACTCACTCACTCACACACACACACACACCCACGCACGCATGCATGCACGCACGCACGCACGCACACACACACACACACCCACGCACGCATGCATGCACGCACGCACGCACGCACACACACACACACACACACACACACACACACACACACACACACACACACACACACACACACACACACCACCTGCTCCCCACCCTCGCCCCCCCCCTCCAGTTCCCTGACATATACGACCAGATTATATCCTATGAGCACTGCATGATGCTGGGGCGGAGGTTCGGTGACAGGTGGCAGCTGCAGATAGACAGTGACGAGTTCATCTGGTACCCGCTTCAAGCTGGGGCGTTCCTGAAGCCGCTTCTAGCGAGGATAGAGCTCAACCACTTGCAAAACAGCACGGAACCGCTACGGGTGGGTTTTGAGAATTCTCATTAGTGATAACAACAGGGTAACATGGATGGGAAAAAAAAAAAAAAAAAAACAGTAAGGCGGGCCCAACTTGATGTGACTGTACCGAAGGGAAACAGGGCACAAGAAAGAGGAGATTTTTATGGCATCGAGTGATGAATTTGGTAACTAGCACCACCAGAGGAGGCCAGAGCTCTAAAGGGTGGTTCTGGAAACAGCTACCACCGTGAGAAGGCACCATTTACCCACGGTACCTCATCCCTTTCCTCTCTCCATTTCCCCACAACGACCATTAAGCAATATCCCATCCCTTCCCTCTTTCCATTTCCCCACAGCAGGCCATTCAGTTGCGGCGGTTCAACGTCTGGGGAGAAACCAAGGAGGCTCGCGGGGAGTGTGTGACAGACCGCCTCATGTGGCGCAGCAAATTGCCAGCGTTTGATAAGGGCATGCACAGATATCATGACAAAGTGGCCGTTAATCCTCAGACGATCCTCCCCTAGTGAGTGACGTCAACCCACCAGCGATCCTCCCCTAGTGAGTGACGTCAACCCACCAATGATCCTCCCGTAGTGAGTGACGTCAACCCACACACACACCACTCACCCCTAGTGAGTCCCAGGGGGAGTGTGTGACAGACCACCTCATGTGGCGCAGCAGCTCGCCGGCGTTTGATAAGGGCATGCACAGATACCATGACAAAGTGGCTGTCAACCCACAGACGATCCTTCCCTAGTGGGTGTAGGGTTAGGGTTTAGGAACGTCAACCCACACCCCGTTCTCCCCTAGTGACTGCTGTCAACCCACACACCAAACTTCCCTAGTGACTGCTTATCAGCACAATCACTCCCCTCTCTTTCTCCATGATTATTTCTCTCCTGCCTTCCTTCCTTGTCATAGAGTCACCATAGGTGTCACAACATCACCTGATTTTTACAACACGCTGCCTACTCCCCCCCCACATGCCGCCCCATATATGTGTCGTCCCTCTCTGTCTCCATGATTATTTCTCTCCTGCCTTCCTTCCTTGTCATGGAGTCACCAGAGGTGTCACAGCACCATCTGATTGTTACAACACGCTGCCTACTCCCCCCCCACATATTTGAGGCGCCTCAAAAACCACCAGACATGTCTTGGCCCCACCTTATTGTTACAACATGCCTTGAGACGTCTCAAGATTTTGAGACGTGTCAAAACCAGAGGTGTCACAGCACCATCTGATTGTTACAATGGGCTGCTTACGAGGTGAATTTTGAGTCGACTCAAAAGTCGATTGTTACAATGCGCTGCTTACGAGGTGACTTTTGAGTCGACTCAAAAGTCGATTGTTAGAATGCGCTGCTTACGAGGTGACTTTTGAGTCGACTCAAAAGTCGATTGTTACAACACGCTGCTAACGAGGTGACTTTTGAGTCGACTCAAAAGTCAATTGTTACAACACGCTGCTTACGAGGTGACTTTTGAGTCGACTCAAAAGTCGATTGTTACAATGTGCTGCTTACGAGTTGACTTTTGAGTCGACTCAAAAGTCGATTGTTACAATGCGCTGCTTACGAGGTGACTTTTGAGTCGACTCAAAGGTCAATTGTTACAATGCGCTGCTTACGAGGTGACTTTTGAGTCGACTCAAAAGTCGATTGTTAGAATGCGCTGCTTACGAGGTGACTTTTGAGTCGACTCAAAAGTCGATTGTTACAACACGCTGCTTACGAGGTGACTTTTGAGTCGACTCAAAAGTCAATTGTTACAACACGCTGCTTACGAGGTGACTTTTGAGTCGACTCAGAAGTCGATTGTTACAACACGCTGCTTACAAGGTGACTTTTGAGTCGACTCAAAAGTCGATTGTTACAGCACGCTGCTTACGAGGTGACTTTTGAGTCGACTCAAAAGTCGATTGTTACAACACGCTGCTTACGATGTGACTTTCGAGTCGACTCAAAAGTCGATTGTTACAACACGCTGCTTACGATGTGACTTTTGAGTCGACTCAAAAGTCAATTGTTACAACACGCTGCTTACGAGGTGACTTTTGAGTCGACTCAAAAGTTGATTGTTACAACACGTTGCTTACGAGGTGACTTTTGAGTCG